TAATAGAAAGGATCAATGCTCAAGATTAGGACTGAAGTTTGAGGGATCTCAAGGACCTCCACTAAATCTGTTGGAATTTGATTTTTCAGACAGAAATGAGTGTGACTTTATACAAGAGAAGTGCATATGTTAGTAAGGAATCTTTTCTTGCTGAAAGCTTTGCTCACATTGTAGAAATGTCAAAAAAGGTCATTAAAAAGCACACAGGACTTGGGAATGTGATTAATCACAATAATTAAGAATTCAGTGCCTCGTGGAATAATACTTATCCTAGCAATAGAAATTTCAAGTTCTAGAAATTCCACTTGAATTTAGCACAGACTAAAGGTTGAATAATGGCATTTTAATTCAGAAGATTCACAATTGCATTTGAAACTTAAAATGCCAAGATCTTTTTTTGCATCAGAAAAGCACGTTTACACCGTGGCAATTTGAAGGGCTGGTTTTAATTTTCGTTTCAACATCGTGATAAAGGCATTAAAGGATGATCGCAAGAGCAAACACATTAGAAGAATTATGATTCAACACATCTTTTCCGAGAGAAATCTCATGTTGAAAGACACAGCAGGGCACAAGAGATAAGCAAACCCATGTCACAGATTTCCCCCATTGTCAACCAGACTCTGTTGGTTTTTTATCTCACTAGCCATTGCCCCTTGACTGCAACCCCGCACTTGCCCCTTGGCGCCGGCCCCGCTGCCCTTCGCGGCGCTTTGTGCTGACTCCCCCGCTCTGCTCAACCCGCTCGCTGCTCGCAAGCATCAGCAGAAGCAAGGCCAGCTCTTCCTGCTCGGGGCTGGGGCGATTATTAGCCTTTTTTTTGCCTTCCTCTGACGTTGTGCCAGCACGGGTGCAGGTTTAGGGCCTATTTTCCACTCGCCTTCACGATCCCTCGCAGTGCAGCTCCACCGGGAGCAACCGGGCAGGGTCGCAGCTCTCCGGGGAGGACACCCAGAGAGGAGGACACACAGAGAGGAGGCCGCCGCCGCTCCGCGGGCTCTGGGGTCACCGCGGCCCCCGGGCCGGCTC